GCAAACTCCATGAGCGGCAAATAATCATCCCAATTACCTCTCCATTCAAAAGCGCAAGCCCTCAACATATCCTCAAGGGTTTGAATAGTCCTCTCTGATTGCCCATCTGTCTAAGGGTGATAAGCTGAACTAAAATTTAACCGAGTACCCATAGCTGACTGTAATGCACCCCAAAACTTAGACACAAAACGAGGGTCCCGATCTGACACTATTGACACAGGTGCACCATGCAATCTAACAATCTCCTTCATATACAACTATGCAAATCAAGCTAGAGAATAGTTCATTAGAACTGCAATAAAATGTGTTGACTTGGTTAATCTATCCATAACTACCTAAACTGCATCGTGATTACTACTAGTACAAGGTAATCTGCACACGAAGTCCATGGTAACATGATCTCACTTCCACTCTGGTATAAGTAAGGGTTGTAGTTTCCCCGCGGGTTTCTAATGTTCTACTTTAACTTGTTGACACACCAAACACTGAGCCACAATTTCTACAATATCTCCCTTCATACCATTCCACCAAAAATGTTCATGAAGATCCCGATACATCTTAGTGCTTCCAAGATGAATGCTGTAACTAGAACTATGTGCCTCCGTCAGTCATAATCTCCTTCCTCAAATCACCACCAGCAGGAATACAAATTCGGCTATGAAATCTAAGCAACCCATCATCACTAACCACAAAGTCTACATGCTTACCCTCTGTCATCTCTCCTTTAATACGCTTACATTAGGGGTCAATCTCCTAAGCTAAACAAATTTGTTCTCTCAAGGTCAGCTGAACTGTCAATTGACTACAATAAGCCCTATTAACAGGCGTAACAACCTCAAGCCTCAAACGTCTCATGTCTTCCACCAAACAACTCTCAATAGACAAAGCAGCTACATCTCTAACTGCGACCTTCCTACTCAAGGCATCTGCAACCATATTTGCCTTCCCCGAATGATATAAAATATTCACATCATAATCTTTTAGTAACTCAAGCCATCTTCTTTGCCTCAAATTTAGTTCATTCTGTGTGAAAATATACTTCAAACTCTTATGATCAGTGTAAATCTCACATGACTTTCCATACAAATAATGCCACCAAATCTTAAGAGCGAAAATCATTGCTGCTAACTCCAAGTCGTGCGTAGGATAGTTTCTTTCATGTATTTTCAACTGTCGTGACGCATAAGCAATCACCTTCCTATGCTACATGAGCACACATCCTAAACCCTGTCGTGAAGCATCACTATAAATCACAAAACCACCTCTATCTGTAGGTAAGGCAAGGATTAGAGCTGATGTAAATCTCTGTTTAAACTCTTGGAAACTACGCTCACAATCATCATTCCACTCAAACCTTACCTCTTTCCTAGTGAGATTGGTAAGTGGCAAAGCAATACGGGAGAATCCTTCCACAAACCGTCTGTAATACCCAGCAAGCCCTAGAAAGCTACGTACCTCCGTCACAGAAGCAGGTCGTAGCCAATCAACAATTGTTGCCACCTTCGTGCTATCCACAAATACCCCTTCTTTACTTACCACATGACCCAAAAAGGATACAATGCTCAACCAAAATTCACACTTCTTAAATTTTGTGTACAGTCTTTTCTCCCTAAGGATCTAAAGTACTACCCTCAAATGCTGCTCATGCTCCTCCTTACTCCTCAAATAAATTAGGATGTCATCAATAAACGCTACCACAAATTTATCCAGCTGGGGTTTAAATACTCTGTTCATCAAATCCATGAATGCAGCGGGTGCATTCGTGAGACCAAAAGGTATCACCAAGAACTCATAATGCCTATAACTGGTTCTAAAAGCGGTCTTACGAACATCCTCATCCCTCACCTTCAACTAGTGATAGCCTAACCTCAAGTCAATCTTAGAGAATACCTGAGCTCCCTGCAATTGGTCAAATAGGTCATCAATACAAGACAAAGGACACCTATTCTTCATTATGACTTTGTTCAATTCCCTATAGTTAATACACAACCTCATAGACCTATTATTCTTCTTCACAAACAACACAGGTGCTCCCCAAGGTGAAACACTAGGCCTAATAAAAACCTTTTTCTAACAACTCCTGTAATTGAGTTTGTAACTCCCTTAACTTTAACAGTGCCATTCTATAGCGTGTTTTAGAAATACGTGCTATGTTAGGGACCAAGTTAATGGAAAATTCTACCCAACGATCTAGAGGAAGTCCAAGTGGACCCTTTGGAAAAACATCAACACAATCACTCACTATAGGCAACTCCTCTAACTTCTATTCTGGTAGTTTGATACTCACCACACAAGCTAAATAACCATGACACATTTTTTCTCAACATTCAGTTAGCCTGAAGGGAAAAAAATAAACCAAATAGAAGACCCTTTCCTATCTCCCTGAAAGAAAAACTCAAGTTGTCCTGGTATAGCAAAAACTACCCCCATTCTAAAACAATCAATAGAAGCATGATGTTTTGTCAACCAATCCACCTCCAAAATCACGTCAAAATCCTTTATCTCTAAAGAAATCAAATTCACTGGAAAAATTCTACCATCTATCTCTATCTCACAAGATCTACAAACATCTCCCCATACTACTGTTTCTCCTAATGGATTACACACGGTAATACAAACATCAAAGGCTCCCAAAGAATAGACAATCCGTATAGATATCTATGTGCCAACTCTTAACCTTCAAACTAAAATCAAGAAAGATTCAACACTAGTTTAAACAAAACTAACTTAACTACACACTACATGATTCTTGTTATCCGATCGGCTTAATTTTTTGCAGGAATGATACACTCAACGAATCCTAAAATATTGATGATTTGGATTATTGAAACGGAACTCAAAAGTAGGCCCAACAAACCAAAGAACACCTCTTCAATCTGATTAAGGATCGAAGAGAAGTTTAATCCATAAAAAAATTTAAATTTTCAACACGATAATAAACCATTTTTAAGTTCTTATTTTTTATACTGAATAAAAAATTTAGGACGAGTGAAGTAATTTGTAAGGGCAATCTCTTTATGGATAAAGTCTAAGGCACTCAAAAAAACTGCTTATAAAATTACTTAAATTTATAAATCAATGATGTATGTTTTAAACTTCTTGACATAGGGTCACAACATAAATAAATCTTAGTCATTGATTATGAATTATAGGCAAAAAAAAAAATTTTTTGGGGGGGCGGGGAGAGAAGGGAATTGGTCCTCTTTTTTATAGGTTAATCTTTCGAGGGGATCACATCAACAATTTACAGAGCATGAAGCAAAAAAACGACGCTTCCAATTACATGAAAATTCCGGAACTTTGCGAGTCTGCTTTTGGTCTGCCAATTACATGAAAATTCCGGAACTTTGCGAGTCTGCTTTTGGTCTGCCATTGATAAGAAATTTATTTACATTATTTGAATCATGAATTTATAAAAATAAAAAATAAAATTAAAGAAAAAAAGAAGAAAAAAGGTAGGTAAAATATGCTTATATTTTATTTGTATTTAAGACTCGTTTAAGAATTGATTACTTTAATTGATTTTTTAATTTTTTTTGCAAAACATGTATAGAAAAGTAAAAAGAATGATGTAATAACTTGTAGTGAATTTTTATTTTTATTTTTATTTTTTTAACCTATTAACAAACAAGGCCTTAGTTATATACTAGTCATATAGCTATATTCTTGTATGCATTGACCCAATAAATTATTTGTAATTAAGATATTTTCAAACCTTAGACCACAAAAGGAGCACATTTCCAAGAGTTTAGATTTGTTAAAGTTAGTGCATTGGAAGATTAATTTATACATATGTCAATGGTTTGAATCGTTCTTCTAATATAACAAATTGAGAAGAGAATGGATGCAAATGATTGAATTGATCAGACATACGTAAACGTATGATTTACATATTATTGGATTTAGAAAATAGGTTTTAAAAGTGAGTTTGTATATTATTTTTCTAAGATTAAGTAGTGTTTTGAGAAGATAGTAAAAAACTAACTTTTTGGATTTTTTGTAACTTTTTGACTTTTTTAATATAAAAAATAGAGAGGTAATGTGACCAAAAAAAGTTAAAAAATCGACTTTTTACTAACTTGTCAAAACGCCCCTAATTAGGAGCTTCTTTAATGAATTAGTAATTATTAAGGTTTGCCTTTATTTCAAAAATTAAAAGCAATTTTACATGAACCCACAGATGTTAGGACTGGGCGTAGGGTTATCCGACCCGCCCAAACCGCCCTACCTGATCCGACCCGCATACGTATAGGCGGTTTCGCAAACACATTAGGGTCAAGTGCAGTTTGGATTTTATTTGATTTTAGGGTTGTGGGCGGGTTGCGAGGTTGAACCAAACCCGCCCGCATTAGCCTTTTTTTATTATTTTTTTTTATATTTATTATTATTATTTTTTTATATTTCAAATCTAACCGTTCATCTCACTTCATCTATAACAAACAAAAAAACCCTAATCTATCTCTCAAACTCAAAAACACGAACTCTCTCATCTGTCTCCCTCACTCTCTCATCTCATCAGTCCCTCTCTCACTCTCTTATTTTTCATCTACACCGATCGACTCTCTCTCGTCGCAAGATCGACCGATCGACCTCGTTCTCTCATTACACTGATCGACCTCGCAAGTAAGTCTCTCTCTCTCTCTCTCTCTCTCTCTTTCACTCACTCACTCACTCCCCGATCTTTGATTTTTTTTGCAACATATAAGATCTCTTTCTCTGATCTGTCTCTCTCACTCTCTTACACACACTCTCTCTCTTCCCGATCTTTGATTTTTTTTGCAACATATCAGATCTTTCTCTCTCTGATCTGTCTCCCTCACTCTCTCATCTCATCAGTCTCTCACTCTCTCATTTTGCATTTGCATCGATCGACTCTCTTTCATCGCAAGATCAACCGATCGACCTTACTCTCTTATCGCACCGATCGACCTCACAGGTAAGCCTCTCTCTTTGTCTCTGGCTCTGTCTCTCTCTCTCCCCAATCTTTGATTTTTTTTTTGGTTGCAACATATCAAATCTCTCTCTCTGATTTGTCCCCCTCACTCTCTCATCTCATCAGATCTGTTTATTTTATGCAATCAGATCTGTTAATTTTTTTTTATAGCAACAGATCTGTAAGAAGTGAAAATTGAATATGTGTTTATGCAAATAGATCTTTCTCTCTTTGTTTTTTTTTTTTAATTGAATCTATGTTGTTGGAATTAAATATGTGGTATTGGAATTAAATCTGTTGTTAAATCTATGAGAAGTGGAAATTGACTCTGTGTGTTTGTTTGGAATTAAATCTGATTTTTGTTTTGTAGCAACTGATCTGTGAGAAATGGAAATTGAATCTGTGTTTATGCAAACAGATCTCTCTCTCTATTTTTTTTTTTTTTTTGGAATTGAATCTGTGATTTTGGAATTAAATCTGTGCTTTTGGAATTAAATCTATTATTGAATCTATGTTAGAAGGGGAAATTAAATCTGTTATTGTAATTTTAAATTGAATCTATTATTGAATCTGTGACTGAATCTGTTATTAAACTGAATCTGTTATTGAAAAAATTTTAGAGAGTGATTAAATTTGTTATTAAATTGAATATATTATTGAATCTGTTTTTAAATCTGTTATGTTATTGAAATTGAATATGTAATCCGTTATGTTATTGAAATTGACTATTATGTTTTTTGGCTTATGTTTGATATGACATTTTTATTAAGAGAAGAACAACATGAGTCTCTCTCCCCCCCTTCCCCAAAAAAAAAATCATTACTAATAATAATAAGAGTCCGGATCCTCTGTAATGCATCCAAAAAACGACCGAAGACGTCCTGGTTCTTTCCATTATATGTATATTTCTGATTTCTTCAGTTTTATATGATTTTTCATTCACCTGACATGGATTTATGAAATTTTGGATATTTGAAGTATTGAAATTGAAATTATCAGCATTAAGAAAAGCAAAATTTCCAAATTTCTTGACCCAATTGGCCATTGAAGTTGTTGAGTGAGAGTTTAATTAAAAAAAAAAAAAAAACCAATCATTTTTGACAAATCAATGTGATTCATTGAGTGAAGAACCAAAATGGGTTTTGAATTTCCTTCAATTTTGTTGCTTGAGATGTTAAGTTATTGAAGATTGATTAGATTACTGAATCAAGATTTGAGATCATTCTCAGAGGTCAAGAACAAGAGGTTTGGAAGGACTAATGGAGAGGTAGCCAAACCTATTCTTAGCCTCCTAACCAAACACACTTAAGAAGGGGAAAAGAAAAAAGTCAGAACCACATCGTTTTGGGTGCACTACAAACTGTACTACGGGAAAGAATTACGAAAGATCTGGACTCAATAAGAGTAATGCTAAATGGTGTGTCATATATGCAATTTTTGATATTTGTGAGTTTAATTATTATAAATAATATATTTAATCTTATAGGGGTCCTAACTAAAAAAATAAGTTATAACTAAATACTACATAAGAGATAATCAAATAATTCCTAAATTATAATCAAAATAATATCACAATTAGTACCACAATAAATCACAACCGAAGACTACAAAGGGCATAACAAAGGTGTATGTATAGTATAGAATTTCGCATAGTAATAGTAGCTATCATACATAGACGGGTTATGTTATGGTATACACTTTCAAAAGGATGTGTAATAGTGGTGATTGTAGGATTTTTATTGATGAGTCACACCTTAAGTTTCACAAATTTTATTTAAAAAAGAAAAAAAGAAAAATATTTACTCTGTTTTGTTTTAAGTTTTCAAAAAAATTTATCTTTACAATTTTTATTTTTATTTTTTGTATTTTTGTTTTTTTATGCATCTAACCTACATGTTGTTAGAAAGTAAAATATTTGCGAAAAAATCTATAAAAAATAATAAATACAAAAAATAAAATAAAATGAACCGAGTTCTTACATTTTTTTATATTTAGTGAATTTTTATCCTCAAAAAAAAATATATTTAGTGAATTTAAAAAAAAAATTTACTAATAGACAAAAAAAATATGAAAAATAAAAAATTCAAAAAATATTTTTAAAAATTATTAATCAAGTGATTTAAACTTATGAAATAGTTTATTTTTATGGGTATAGATTCATAATTGATGGGATTCTTGAGGTTCCATTTGTTTAGAAAGAAATGAATGATAAAAAATTAAAATAGCAGAAAGTGAAGTGAAAGAGAAAAAAAAAAAGAAAAAAAAAGAAATGAAAGAGAGAAATTGAAAGTGATTTTACAACATACAAATGTGAACTCAAAACAACTAGGTAGGAACTATCCGAGAAGGTAAGAAGAACATTTTTTGTGTTTGATCAATAGAGTTGATGACGCATATATGAGAGATAGAGATCATCATGCATGACATTGATTTTGTTGTCTTTCTTGATTTGACTCTTAATTGTATGTATAAATATGGATGGAAAACAAAAGAAAGAGAGAGAAAGAGAAAGAATAATAGATGAAGAAGAAGATTTTATCATCACACCAACAACAGGTCAACAAAGGTAGCAGCATAGCAATTACATACTTTGAGGAGTGACGCGTCGAGTTTGGTTCTGGGGTTGGCCATTCAGTTTTCTGGCTTATGTTTGATATGACATTGTTATTAAGAGAAGAACATGAGTCTCTCCCAAGTCAACAAAAAAAATCATTACTAATAGTAGATGTCCTGGTTCTTTCTATTGTACGTATATTTCTGATTTTTTCATTCACCTGATTTTGGGTGATTTGTGAGATGAGTTTATGAAATTTTGGATACATTTGAAGGATTGAAATTGAAATTATCAACATTAAGAAAAGCAAAATTTTCAAATCTCTTGACCCAATTGGCCATTGAAGCTGTTGAGTGAGAGGTTAATTAAAAAAACAAAACAAAAAAATCATTTTTGCCAAATCAATGTGATTCAATGAGTGAAGAACCAAGTTGGGTTTTGAATTTCCTTCTATTTTGTTGCTTGAGATGTTAAGTTATTGAAGATTGGTTAGATTACTGAAGCAAGATTTGAGATCATTCTCAGAAGTTAAGAACAGAGGTTTGGAAGGACAAGTGGAGAGGTAGCCAAACCTATTCTTTTAGCCCCCTAACCAAACACACTTGGAAGGGGAAAAGAAAAACATTAGAATGTCCTCGTTTTGGATGCACTACAAATTGCACTACAGGAAAGAACTACGGAGGATTCGGACTCAATAAGAATAATGTTCAATGGTGTGTCACATATGCAATTTTTGATATTTTGTGCGTTTAATTATTATAAATATCATAACTTAATTTTATGGGAGTCTTAACTAAAAAAATAAGTTATAATCAAATACTAAATAAGATATAATTAAATAATTCTTAAATTATAATCAAAATAATATCATAATTAGTATCACAATAAATCATAATTGAAAACGACAAAGGGTATAACAAAGATGCATATGTACTATAGAATTTCGCATAGTAATAGTAGTTATCATACATAGATGGGTTATGTATGATTGTAATCTTATAGGAGTCCCAACTAAAAAGATAAGTTGTAATCAAATATCATAAGATATAATCAAATAATTCTTAAATCATAATCAAAATAATATCATAATTAGTACTACAATAAATCACAATAAATCACAACCGAAGACAACAAAGGGTATAACAAACGTGCATATGTACTATAGAATTTCGCATAGTAATAGTAGCTATCATACATAGATGGGTTACGTGTGATAGTAATTTTATAGGAGTCCTAACTAAAAAAATAAGTTATAATCAAATACTACATGAGATACAATCAAATAATTCTTAAATCATAATTAAAATAATATCATAATTAATACCACAATAAATCATAACCGAAGACGACAAAGGGTGTAACAATGGTGCATATTTACTATAGAATGTCCCATGGTAATAGTAGCTATCATATAGATGGGTTATGTTATGGTATACACTCTCAAAAGGGTGTGTATTAGTTTAAGTTTCACAAATTTTATTTAAAAAAAAAAAGAAAAAAAGTTAAATATTCACCCTGTTTTGTTTTAAGTTTTCAATAAAAGTTGTCTTTACAAATTTTTATTTTTATTTATTTATTTTTTTTTATGCATCTAACCTACACGTAGTAAGAAAGTAAAATATTTGTGTAAAAATCTATAAAAAAATAATAAATACAAAAAATAAAATAAAATGAACTGAGTGTTTACATTTTTTTTTATATTTAGTGAATTTTTTAAATATTTTTTTACTAATAGACAAAAAAATATATCAAAAATAAAAAAAACTCAAAAATTATTTTTAAAAATTATTAATCAAGTGATTTAAACTTATGAAATAGTTGATTTTCATGAGTATAAATTCATAATTGATGGGATTCCTTAGGCTCCATTTGTTTAGAAATAAATAGATGATAAAAAATGAAAATAGCAGAAAGTGAAGTAAAAGAAAGAAAAAAGAAATGAAAATACAATGACTGCATAACAGAGAGTTGTAGGAGAGAAACATGGGTAAAAAAGAAAATAAAATAAACCTTGTTAAGATTTACGGAAAAAAATAAATTTCCTTATATATTTTGTAAGAAATTGTTTCCCTCTCAACTCAATTTTTTTTTTAATTTTTAATTTTTTTAATAATGAAATACTAAGTTTCATTATGTGTTGCATTTTAATTAGTTCATAATTAAATTTATAGAGTTTTATATTAAACCCGTAAATTATGCTACCATAATTACCATTTCAAATTACTTCTTTAATTTATGTTTACCAAACCAAATTTATTTTCAAAATTGCTTCTCCAAGATTGGATTAATGCATGATTTTGATACATTCATACATACACATATGGAAAATAATTAATTTTTTAACTTAAAATTTAAACATTATTGATTTTTTAACATGGCTTGAGTTTCTCTCCAGTCCTCTATCGGATTAGAGAGGTATTGTTAGGCCTTGTGGGTTCATTTTTGGGCTCCATTTTGATAATCTGAACTATTCATATTTTAGAATTCGTCGAGTACATAATTCCTATAAAAAAAATCAAGTCTTTTAGATGGTAACCATGTGTTTGTATCCGTTTTGTATCAAAAAAAAAAAAAAGATGGTGAGAAAATAAACAGTTCATGCAAAATTGATCCAAACACGTGATTTTCATTATCTGATTGACTTGATTTTTTTGCAAGGATGACATACTCGATGAGCCTTAAAATATGAACGGCTCAGATTATCAAAACGGGGCTTAAAAATTGGCCCATTGAATATTTAATCCAATATTAGAATCCCAAATTAGCTCATACCGGTCACGAATAGATAAATTGTTATATAATTGATACATAATGTTTAAATTTATTATTATCAAACATTTTTACTAAGATTAAAGCTAATATGACATATAATTTAGGTGACTCTATCTTAGATAATTTTTTAATATATGAATATATGTAACTATTTATTTCATGTTAACATAAATATATACTTTTTTTAACCTAAGTATTTTTTAATATATGAATATATGTAACTATTTATTTCATGTTAACATAAATATATACTTTTTTTAACCTAAGTTCAAATTTTTAAATAGATATGCATAAAATATGTTCATTTTTCTTATTTGAAAAATAAAAATACTTATAGATATTTATTTACTAATTTAATAATAAATAGGTCAAATAATTTATAAGTTGGATATAAACCAAAACAATTTTTAATGATTAGGTGAAGGTCACGTTAGCATAAATATACAAGTTATTTATGTGTAATTCTGATAAAAATGAATAAAATTTAATTTATTAGAAATAATTTTTTCTACATATTTTAGATAAATTTTATATTATTATTGATTTTAAAACTATTTTTTGATTATTTATTTATACTCGTGCATAGCACTACCAATGTCTCTTTACTAGCTCTTAACACAAAGTAAAAATAAAACTAACTAAGATTTTAAAAAGAAAAGTTATGCTATTTTTTTTTTTATTTAATAGTTTCGTAATACAAAAATTGTTGAAATTTATAAGTTATTGACACAAAATAAAATTAAGAAATATAAAGGGGATCCCTTGAATTTTTTTTTTCTTTAACTAGTGGCTTTAGAATAAAAAAATTGTTAAAAATTATTAGTAGTAGACACAAAATAGAGTTAAAATTTTTATAATAAGATATCATAAATACTTATTTTTTAACTACTCAAAATTTGAATTTTAAAAAATAGAGAGATTTTTATCTTCACTTTTTTATTTCTCTTCTTTGACATCTCTTTTTTTTTTTTTTTTTTTTTTTTTTTTTTTTTTTTTTTTTTTTGTATACAAATTTTTTAAAATTATAGATGACATTTCACTCTTATCCAATTTTTAAACTACTATCCCTTTCTGTTCTTCTATCATTAGAGTTATATTAGATTTTTTTTAAGGTTTATCTTATTTTATTTTTGAATTTCAACGTGATTTATTTTTTCAATCTTCATTTGATATTTACCGAATTTTTCTCTACTTCATTTTTCTAGAATTTATTTAATTTTCTCTTTCTATATTCTTATAGTTCATTCTCAAATTTAAACTTGATTTTTTTTATCTCTATCTTATATGTATATAATCCACTCTCGTTCTTGATTTTCAATTAAATTTCTTCTTTTTCAAAAATTTACCTAATTTTCTCTTTCTATATTCATCTTCAAATATAAATTTAATTTTTTTTATCTTCATCTTATATTTATAGAATTTCACTCTTATTCTTCATTTTCAATTAAGTTTATTCGATTGAGTGCACTTCAAAAAAATTAATTAGTTCTGCATATTTATATAAACATAGTGAAATCATTCAAATCTATTATTTAAATACCCATCTAAATTAATATCATAGTATTTAGTTAATTTTTAACATGTTTAGTATTGTTTATCACATTTTGTTACTTGCTCGTGCATAGTACAAATTTTCTACGAGTATAATATTTATGGGATTGATTTTCACAAATGTCATAATCAAATATTTTTAGGTTAAAAAAATAATTAACAAAAAAACAAGCAAACATAATCTACGATATAACTAAAGACTTTTTAAATTATAATCAAAATAATATCATAACTAACATTAACACCATGTGTATAATCAAATTATAACTAATAACCTAATAAATCATAATCAAACAATACAAACATCGAGCAATTATTCATTGTCTTTGGGACATTGACGTGACAATGCTATAAATGCATCTAAGTCATCCATTGTGTGGGTCTCACACATAAATCCCACACAATAGATGACTTAAATACTTTTAGAATAATGCCACATGAGGTATTTAATAATTTTTCATAAATATTGTAAGTAACTAAAGTATATGATACCTATCTTTCTTAATGTCTAAAGTAAAATTTTTCTATATAGTAAACGATAATATCATAAGGGCAATGCTGGGACCCCCAATGGGGGGCGACCCCAATATTCCCAGTGACAGTTGACGCACTGTCACTGGCTCAAAAAAACAAAAAAAAAATTTTTGAACCAATCAAAAATAACTCCTCGTACCTCCACTAAGGGTCCAACTCATTTTCCATATCATAAATATAGAAGGGTGTAATTTTGAATTATACACCCATAATTTTTGAATCCCATCTCATCACATAATGAGTTATATCATATATTTATATATATATATATATATATATTTTTTTGTTCTACTGTACTCTAATTTCCAAACAAAATCAAATCAAATCAATCCAATCCCAGGTGACCGGCTCATTGGCTTATTATAGCGTCACTCCCCTTACATCATTTACGTGTGTCTCTTTGACTCTCCCAAATGCTAACCGGAATTCTCCGTTTTTTCGTAGTTTTATTTTTATTTTTATTTTTATTGACTTTTTAGGATTTGGGACAATGCCACGAGGTATTTAATAATTGTTCATAAATATTGTAAGTAATATGATACCTACCTTTCTTAATATCTAAAATAAACTTAATTTTATGGGAGATAGTAAACAAAAACATCATAAATATAGAAGGGTGTAATTTTGAATTATAAATTCATAACTTTTGAGTTACACCCTACTATATAATGAGTTCTATTATATATTTTTATAATTTTTTTTATGTTCTACTATGCTATATTTTTATAATTTTTTTATGTTCTACTATACTATAATTTCGAGTAAATTAAAAATGCATTCCTTAAAATTTGATTAAAATACGAATCGTCCTTTGTAGTTTTGAAAATTACATTCCATCCCTGAAATTTTTAATTTCATAACAAATCGCCTATTTTATTAATAAATAATCAAATTAATTAATAATTCTTAATGATATTAAAAATATGTTTTAATTAATAATTTAGGTAATTTTATTATTGTATTAGAGAATAATTATGAATTTTATTTTTTTAGTTAATTTTATTAAATAAAATTTTTTAACAAAAAGATATTTGTAATTTTTCAAATTATAATGAATAATTTATACTTTAAATAAATCTCAAAAATTGTAATAGTAATTTATCCTATAATTTCCAAACAAAATAAAATCAAAATCCAATCCCACGTCTGCGCCTTATTATAGCGTCACCCCCCTTGCATCATTTACGTGTCTCTTTGACTCTCCCACATGCCAACTTCGATCATGGGAATTCTTCGTTTTTTAAACGTTTGATTTTTTTGACCTTTTTAATTTTGTTTATTAATATCTTTTTGTACCCCCAAAAAAAAATGTTTATTACTTTATGGGTCCAGCAAATAAAGTATTAAATTATTTATAATTTTAATACACATTTTATATATTTTTATACATCTTTTATATATATTTTATATATTTTTCAATCTTAACAATAGTCCTAAACGTTATTTTTAAGAATAAAATTATACACACAAATTGGTATAATAATTAGTATATTAACGGATGGTATGTCATAATTCTAGAGATTTGGATCTTTGTAATTATATAATGAGTGGGGTCTAAATTTTTAAGTTATAATTTTATAACATATGTTGGTACACTAATTAACACATATAATACTATTATATTTTTAATATTTTCCTATTAATATTGTGGGGTGTTTTAGGTACATAGTAAAAAGCTAATTGTTTAACTTTTTAGCTTTTGTAGTTAAAAAAGTCACAAAAAAGACACAAAA